CATTTGAGAATTTAGAATGTGGAAATTGGAGATTTTAAAAATTAGAAATTTGAAAATTTGGGATTTGCACTATTAGAAATTTGAGAATTCAGCAACTTGAAAATTTGGGAATTTGAAAAATTAGAAATTGGAGAATTTGGGATACCACATTTTCAAATTCCTACATTCTCAAAGTCCCACATTCTCAAATTCCCACATTCTCAAATTCTCACATACTCAAATTCCCACATTTCCAAATCCCTACATTCTCAAATTCCCACCTTCTCAAAGAACTAAATTCTTAAATTCCCATCTTCTCAAAGAACTAAATTCTTAAATCCCCACATTTTCAAATTCCCACATTCCCAAATCTCCACGTTCTCAAATTCCCACCTTCTCAAAGAACTAAATTCTTAAATCCCCACATTTACAAATAACTAAATTTCCAAATTTCCACATTCTCAAATAACTAAATTCTCAAATCCCCACATATTCAAATAACTAAATTCTTAAATCCCCATATTTTTACATAACTAAATTCTTAAATCCCCATATTTTTACGTAACTAAATTCTCAAATTCCCCAATTTTCAAGTGACTAAATTATCAAATCCCCACATTTGCAAATAACTAAATTCTCAAATCCCCACATTTACAAATAACTAAATTCTCAAATCCCCACATACTCAAATAACTAAATTCTTAAATCCCCATATTTTTAAATAACTAAATTCTCAAATTCCCTAATTTTCAAGTGACTAAATTATCAAATCCCCACATTTGCAAATAACTAAATTCCGAAATCCCCACATACCCAAATAACTAAATTCTCAAATCTCCACATTCTCAAATAACTAAATTCTCAAATCCCCACATACTCAAATAACTAAATTCCTAAGTCCCCATATTTTTACATAACTCAATTCTCAAATTCCCCAATTTTCAAGTGACTAAATTATCAAATCCCCACATTTGCAAATAATTAAATTCTTAAATCCCCACATACCCAAATAACTAAATTCTCAAATCTCCACATTCTCAAATAACTAAATTCTTAAATCCCCACATACTCAAATAACTAAATTCTTAAATCCCCATATTTTTACATAACTAAATTCTCAAATTCCCCAATTTTCAAGTGACTAAATTCTCAAATCCCCACATTTGCAAATAACTAAATTCCCAAATCCCCACATACTCAAATAACTAAATTCTCAAATCCCCACAATCTCAAGTAACTAAATTCTCAAATCTCCACATATCCATATCACTAAATTCCCAAATTCCCTAACTTTCAACAATCCTAACTCCCAAATTTCACTTCCAAAATTCACAACATCCTAAAAACTTAAAATCCACATATATCCAACATCTCATCACCCGCAGCATGTACCCCGGTGCCCGCGGGTCTCTCGACGGGCAGCCGATTCGCCCGTCCCCGTTACAGGGCGCGTATCACGACGTACGAATCTCCGTTAAAGATATCAACTTGATGAAGCGATCCTACGCGCTATCTTTCTGTGCTTCTGGTTGGCAATCAATCAAGAACAACGGACAAGATAACTCCATGCCACGCACGTTTTCTTCCACAGGATAATTATTTATTTCCTCATTGTCTCATTGGCTGACGAACGATCCAATTATCGTGAAACCGTCAATGATTTGACCCGATAACTGACATCACTTCGAAACTTATAATTTCTCGTAGAAATGAACCGTCTACCACTGGGTTGGGCAGAGAACGTGCCGTTTTCTTCATGGCTTAAACGATTGAGTGTTAATCACACCGGTGACCACGATATATCGTATAACAGCCAATCGACGATAAATTACTAACGAGTTATCTGAACGAGTGGACAGTAAGACGCTGGGTTTCGCTTTCTTTGTGATGCAATTAATCGCGAAAGCTTTGCATACGGTTGGAAATTATGAAATCGGTTATTTATTGGATTATCGGTGCGATCTCGGTGATTTGTGGAGATTTGATGGAGAGAAATGTGGAAAGATCAGAGTGCAGAAATGTGGTGGTACAAACGGTATGGAAATGTATAAAGGTGAAGATGTAGGAAGAAAAGAATAGAATACAAATATATTTTCATAGACATACAAAAATATGAATACATATTAAATATTAAAAATTTAAATTATAAGTGTCATTAAGGTTTTCGAATTTGGAAATTCAGATTTATCGAAATTTGAAAATTGTAGAATTTCAGAACATTGGTAATGAATAATGATTCATAAATTTGAATCATGGGAAGAATGTTTGAATATTTCTTGTGAATCTGTAAATTTAAAAATATGCTAACTTAAAAATTTACAAATATTGAAATCTGTAATGTTCTTACTTTAAAATTTAAAAGTTTAACAATGAATTTAGTGTCTGCAAGTGTTCCTCTACATTACGAGTAAAACTGCCTGACAACACACACAATATTATGGTTAAAAAGAAAAGTAGAAATAGAAGTAGTTTAATATACTAAATTTTTAATAGTTCAAAACTATAGTTAATGTGAGCACATTATTACAGATTTAACCTTAATTGGTTCATAGATAGAATGAAATCTTAATTATAGTCTTGAAAATATGTTCCACTAATGCGAATAATTCCTTCATAATTGCTTTCCTTTTTCTGTCAGATTAATATCTGATGATCGAGTTGGTTAATTAACGATATTGGTAACCCTTTATGTTTTCTAAGTTTTTTCTATTTGACTTTGACGTTTTGTTATCATTACCTATCTGAAGGATCTATTAATCATTATTTCGTTTATATTATTTATGAATGAATGCCAGAGGATCTTTCTAATATAATTAAACTACTCTTTCTGTATTTCAATTTGATGTAAATATGTATAGGATATGGTGAAGTGATAGTAACATTCAACAGTATGAAGGAGTATATGTAGCAAAAATATTTCAGTGTATTAAAAGTTTTGTGATTTTTCAAAATTAGCATTGTAGTTTGTATGATTCATACTGCAAACGCATGCATTAAATATGGTACTCTTGTACCATATCTTGTATCTTGTGCCGCCATTTTGTTTCTATTCCTACATCTTAATATTTGAAACCTTATGCGAAACTTCGTGTTATAAATACCTATAAAAATACCTTCTTACCTTTTTATATACTTCCACAAAATTATCTATCATTCTTTTGTTATAGCATACTATAATTTCGTTCGATGTAAATATTGTGTAACTCTTTCAAAAATTGATTATTCAATGTCGTGAGATGTGTTTTTGATAAAATAATAAAAATTTAGTTTAAATCTAACAGCTGTTTATAATTCCTGTCAAATAAACAAAAATATGTATTCAATTTTATCGAACAAAGTTAGGTTAGAATTCATCATGGAGGCCGAGGCAAGTTGATACATTTTATAGTTTTTATTTTTACAATTTTTAATAAAACTGTACTATTTTTTAACTACTGTAAAATAGTACAATATTTAGTATAATTATGTTGAAATATATTTTGACCTTTCTATTAGATATTAATTTTTATATTTTATGTAATTTAATGTTTTCCAGTCGCAGTTACAATATCTTATATTATCTAGTAATTTATAACAACGATTTAATAATTCTAGAACTAATTTATAATTATAATGATAGCAAATATTTTTTTACAATACTTCTATAAATTATCCAACGTTCAAATATTTCGATAGAATATCTGGTATTAAAATATTCTGAACGAATATCAGATTTTATTATAAGATAATTATTATTACTTCCTAACAAACCAGCATGTAATTATTATTTATTTTAAGCAATTTAAACAATCTTTTTATAGATACTACAAAGCCTTTCATGAGTGAGTATATAACAAGCTGATGCATATTAAACAAACTATTTTATTTTTACGACCCATTCTCGCTAATAATTTTATTGCTTCCTCCGAAGTTTTAAGTGAAATTACGCTACACGCTATGAGTTTACATACAATGTCGTCGTATTAGATAATCACATGACTGTAATGAATAGCTTAAAGTGTAATTATTAAGTCATTTCATCATAGAAATTTTGTGAGATTGGAAAGTCATGAAATCCATTATGGTCACTTATTTGACAATTTACATATTGACATTATACGTGTACTTACATATTACATGTTACTGAAACACATTACATGTTGAAACACATAGGTACTGCATATTTGACAATATACATATGCCTGTATATGCAGACATTGTTTTGAAAATTTACTAGCATAGGTTGAGTATTGTAATTATTATAAATATTTAAAATTGATATATTAGACATATGTCATATAAGATTAATAAAAGAAATAATACAATTCTATAATAATGTCTATAACTACTAATATAAGATTAAAATCATGGCGATATAAATTATTTAAAATATCAATTTATGTGAATTGTATTCATCTGAAAGAATCGATAATTTTGCATAAACAATAGATAAACACAGACCCGTTACAAATTTTCAAATGCACTACAACCACGGTTGAACAAATAGCCTCTGAAGAATTTTCGATCCCACAAAAAAGTTCAAGAAACTGGTTCAGAGCGTTGGAATTTCTGAAAGACTCCATAGCTCGTTCACCCGGCAATATAAGGAGAATCCGCTAGAGTACAAATTAAGTTGCTCCTTAAACTAAATTAACAATACAACTGTCTGAGCACACTGGCAACAATTGTAGTCGTGTCGTGGATTTCTCGTACAGTAGTGATTAGCGCCGAGTCGATGTTCCCAGTATAGAAACTGATCAATATCGAATCAGCAGATACCGATGATTATCTGCTATCGCGTTTTGAACCCTGTATTAGTTGAACCTGTCTACCGGTGCTCGGCTCCGTTGAAATTAACTAGACACTTTCATTAACTCGGCCTTTAGTCCATGATTAGTTGGAGCATTACCTAATGAATACCGTAATCTTAGTTCGTATCGATACATCGTTTCACCAGCTTCCAATCTCATCTATCCTTTCAATTTTTCCTTCGTTACGGAATCCGGTGCTCTAATGGAACAACCGTTTTGTTTTGTTAACAGTATGCCAGGGTCACGCCGCTGAACGAGGTGGATCGTCGAGGTTCAAGTGCAATGTTTCGAGTTTCGGACCGTAATAAAACGAACGATAAACACGCGAGTGCGTTCTGTCGATTACACTCCGGTTCTGAGATTAGAGAATAGTGAATAACAGTGACGGGAAATAAATAGAAAAACGTGAAGAGGACCAGGAAGAGGAAGTGTCACAACGCGTGTGAAATGGATGGTACGCCAAAGAAAATCGAAGCAGTGTTAATATATGGATGCCCATGGGTGGAATTTGGCCGAAATGTGCCAGCGTTACCATCACGCTGTACCGGCAGCCCAAAATTCTTCGCCAGCTAGGGATCCTTCGGCGGCCATCGTGCAAGGCTTGTCAACGGCTTCGCACATTGACCAGGCTAGCCCTTCTTATTCTCATTACACGTGAGTCTATTCTTTTCATTTCTTTATAAAGCTCTTAGATAAATTATATTTATCTGGATACAAAGGGTGGTTCATGCAACTGTATCAGGTTACTTTCGTTCGCTAGGGATTCTCCGTTTTCCAGATCCCCGTCAGCCATCTTTCGGCGCTTTTCACCATTTTTCTGAAGATTTTGGTTTATTTTGAAGAAATTTAATTCTCCCACAAAAGTCGTATTTGACACGGTTTTGCCCCTACATTCGTATAAGCGAGTGATGGGAATTTCATAGTATTTTGATAACTCCAGTATCAGACAGGTGTTGAGGCTTTCGGGTGCACTCCAGTGCCGATTCAGAAAAATGTCAAAAGGGAAAAATATAATTCAATACACTTGAACTTGCAATTCTAAAGAACAGCCCCGCGATATAGTCTCGAAACAATATACTCCTTGCAACGTTCATCTTTCTCCTTTTTTTCTGTATCAGTATTGGTAACCGCGTTAGAATATGATACAGTCGCGTGAGCCTTGTATAATGATACTGTGTATCGTGAAAATCATATTATATATGTACATCACGATTAAAGTGATACTGTATGAGATTCTATATCGTTTTAATTGTCTTGTCGTGTTGAATATAAATATCAGTAATTATTTACTTCAGCGATTCCTCGCCGATTTTGATGACGGGATACGTTCTCAAGGACGTTCTTGTACCACTGTTTGAACTTTGATTTCGAGATTTTTGCAAGGAAATTCTGTTTACTTTTACGTTGCAATTATACTTCGTAATATTTATCGTAGCATAATTTAACTTAAGTTAATAACTTACATAATTCTTATCTAATAACTTATATTTACTGAAGTTAGGTTGGATTAAATCTATATCTCACATAGCCTAAAATCTTGTAGAAGGTTAAAATGGCGTAAATAATGACTCAAGTATTGCATGACTGCGTTTGTGAATTACTATAGGTAAGGCAGATTGATATAGTGACATTTTCTGCATACTGTGTGTACGTAGATAGATGATGACAAGAAGTTTGAACTTTATTGCTTAGTTGTTTATTATGATAGACCGTACGTTTATGTACGTTGATGTAGCAATTACGATTCAACCATTTCTATGTCTACTAGTGCAAAATATATATATTCGCATTGATTTCTTGATCCATCTAAAGTTATTATAAAATTTTATACCTTGAAACAATTAGACTTAAATAATATTTGAAGGCAAAATAATTATATATTGTTACTCTCATCACGTGATCCATATTATATTTAAGTTTTGATCTGTTAGATATCTAACTTTTGAATTGAACAGGTTCTAGTTGAATTTTCATTTTTGATTAAAAAATTTGAAAGTTCGGATTTGACGAAAATAATTATTCGATTCAATTATGCTTCGGTCCCAAATTAAAAAGTACTCAATTACGGATTTTAAGATAGTTAATAGGGCAATTCAAAATCTTGAAAATTGTGCTATACATCATATTAAATTGTCTACGTTACAAAGTTTCCCGCCTGGTATATAATATACTGAAATAATCTTGCAAATGTATCTAAGCATATTACAATTTATTCAATCGTGCCATCACTCTTGTGATGTAGATGTTCAGTGACATAGGAATGTGAAGTCACTTCATAGGCAACATGCATACAATAAAGATTAATTACAATGAAAGTGACACGGATTATTTATTGTAATCCAATTAAGAATGCAATTCTATTAAAGCGAAGCTCAGTCAATATAATTAAAATTCAAATTAATCTTTGTATTCTATTAAAATAATTCTACGATACGTTATGACACACACATAACCATTAGCAACACATTTTTATTTTTTTCTTGTGCAAAAACGCACTTTTAGGAAACAACGTATCTTTTCAAAACAGACGTATGAAATTTCACTTTAACATATAATACCATAATGTTACATTTAATACCTACTTATTATTTTATATGAAATCATAAGGGATGAAATAATAGTTGATGAAAACTACAATTCTCTGATCAAATAAAATAAAAAGATTTAGTTGTAGAAAGTAGAAATAATGTAAGGAAATATCTAAGGAATCCGTAAAATATTTGTTCGTATTTATTTTATTTTTAGCGGTACGTAAGCTGCTATTAGCAACAAAAATTAGCTTGTTCAAATATCACACCACTTCTGGCTATAATCTTAGCATGTGGTTTAAACACCACACAGTTAAAGCAATTAACTTTGGTTAGGTTAACACAGTTAACACAGTTAACTTTGATTACTTGTTAACACAGTTAACTTTGATTACTTGTTGACACAGTTAACTTTGATTACTTGTTAACACAGTTAACATAGTTAACTTTGATTATTTGCTAACACAGTTAACTTTGATTGCTTGTTAATACAGTTATCTTTGATTGATTATTAACACAGTTAACATTGATTGCTTGTTAACACAGTTAACTTTGATTACTTGTTGACACAGTTAACTTTGATTACTTGTTAACACAGTTAACATAGTTAACTTTGATTATTTGCTAACACAGTTAACTTTGATTGCTTGTTAATACAGTTATCTTTGATTGATTATTAACACAGTTAACATTGATTGCTTGTTAACACAGTTAACTTTGATTACTTGTTGACACAGTTAACTTTGATTACTTGTTGACACAGTTAACTTTGATTACTTGTTGACACAGTTAACTTTGATTACTTGTTGACACAGTTAACTTTGATTACTTGTTGACACAGTTAACTTTGATTACTTGTTGACACAGTTAACTTTGATTACTTGTTGACACAGTTAACTTTGATTACTTGTTGACACAGTTAACTTTGATTACTTGTTGACACAGTTAACTTTGATTACTTGTTGACACAGTTAACTTTGATTACTTGTTGACACAGTTAACTTTGATTACTTGTTGACACAGTTAACTTTGATTACTTGTTGACACAGTTAACTTTGATTACTTGTTGACACAGTTAACTTTGATTACTTGTTGACACAGTTAACTTTGATTACTTGTTGACACAGTTAACTTTGATTACTTGTTGACACAGTTAACTTTGATTACTTGTTGACACAGTTAACTTTGATTACTTGTTGACACAGTTAACTTTGATTACTTGTTGACACAGTTAACTTTGATTACTTGTTGACACAGTTAACTTTGATTACTTGTTGACACAGTTAACTTTGATTACTTGTTGACACAGTTAACTTTGATTACTTGTTGACACAGTTAACTTTGATTACTTGTTGACACAGTTAACTTTGATTACTTGTTGACACAGTTAACTTTGATTACTTGTTGACACAGTTAACTTTGATTACTTGTTGACACAGTTAACTTTGATTACTTGTTGACACAGTTAACTTTGATTACTTGTTGACACAGTTAACTTTGATTACTTGTTGACACAGTTAACTTTGATTACTTGTTGACACAGTTAACTTTGATTACTTGTTGACACAGTTAACTTTGATTACTTGTTAACACAGTTAACTTGGATTACTTGTCATACTTTGACAAGTCTCGTGCACTCATAGTCCAAATGTGACAAACATTATCGAACGAAACTTCAATTTAAACCATAACTCCAATCATCATTATAGTATCATTGAATACAAAATTGACATTTTAAGTTTCTCTATTTGTTCTAATAGTGTAGTAATGACTAGTTGACTGACGCATCTGAATAAATCGTACAGCAAAGGTTTAACAGTGAATACAAGGTAGAAAGGATTACATTAAAGTCCTTAAAAAGAAGAACGTAGGGTCTCATCGCGTTTCAATGTTTTCGCACGTGCCTGGGCCGTGTAGTCATGTTATCGCAGCACGAGACGTTCTCAATTGTATTATATATATTAATAACGATACAGCGAATTAGGGATAAGTATACGATTCCGTGGTCAGGTCTCGGTAATCCTGTTATTAGCGCGGCGATTAGGGGAAGATGATCCCCAGGCAAATTGCAGGGGCGTATACCGCGGTGTTTGGTTAACGTAATCGCCAATCACTATCGTTGATCCTTGCCAAGTCCACGAACAGGTTCGATGCGTTCGTTCGAAAGCCCACGGCTGTATTTCCCTTCTTTCAAAGAATTTTCTCGTTTATGCTGCCTTCGAGCCGGCCGTGCACGAAAGAGAGAAGAGATCATCCTCGTGTCCCGTGGACCCGTTGTTGTTCGTGCACGAGAGTCGATTAAATTGCAGTTTACGCTCGTATTCAATATTTCACTGTTATTACGTGGAATTGGCGTAACCAAACGGCAGAAGAGTCCCTTCTTTAAACATTCCAGATTGTTAGGCGGACCACGTTCGTTGCCGGGAATCCTTGTGCTCTGTTCCGTGATACGATGGATAATTTCTGCACGGCTTTAGAATTGCTTGTCTGGTGTTATCGTTCGAGCTTTTCCGTCCATAAACTTCCTTATCCTACTATTTTACGATGATGCAAAGGATGCGTTGGAACAACCGGTACGTCCGGGTTGTCGTTATACGTTGGAAGAAAAATTTCTGCACTCCGGGAATCGGACATCATGACTGTTATAAGAAAAATTTTAAAGCTTGTGGTACAGCGGTGTAATCTATAACGAATGAATTCGATGAAGCTTTGTTGCAAGAGTTGTTCGTTATAGCATGCACGTGCGTATTTAAGGATAATGCTTATATTCAGATACAACATAGTTTTCTTCAGATAAGGGGAAGTATAATTTGAAGATATTTAGATTTCTGACTTCTCGATTCCTTAGATTTTGATTTCACAAATTTGAAAATTTGTAAGATTTGATACTCCTAAATTTCCATATTTTGAAATTTTTAAATTTCCAAATTTCCGCGTATGGAACTAGTGTGCGCTATATCACTACGAGTCGTATTGCCGTGCGTGGAATTAGTACACGTAGAATTACTACTCGTAGAATTGTAATGTTTTGTGTCAGCACGCGTTATATCGCCACGTATTATGTTACCACATATGAAATTACCATGCATGGAATTACTACGCGTTATATCACCAGGAGTTATATTA